AGGGTTTGATCAATAAATAGTCCTAAATTTTTTACAGAGGAGTAGAAGGAGTTTGGCTGGTCACCAAGGTTTAGTATGGGAAAGTCCGTATAGGATCTAAGGAGGGGCTTGGAACCAATGACAATGGCCTGAGTTTTTGAAGCATTTAACCTTAATCCGTTTAATTTTGCCCAGGCACAGATTCGATCTAGGTCTGCTTGGATCTTAGTAAATGCTACCAATAGCTCAGGGGGAGAAAAGGATAGGTATATTTGAGAATCGTCTGCATAAAGGTGGTGGGAACAATGGAGGATTGAGTCATGGAGGTCATTGATATAGGAACTAAAAAGGAGAGGAGATATGCTAGATCCTTGGGCGACTCCAGAGGATAAAGGCAGGTAGGCAGATAGTGGTTGATTAGGAATGGAGACTGCTTGGGTGCGTTGTGATAGGAAAGATTGGAACCAAGAGATGGAGCTATTGGAGAAGGAGAGTGATTTTAGTTTGTTGAAAAGGATGGGATGGTTAATGGAATCAAAGGCTTTAGAGAAGTCAAGAAGTATAAGGACAGTTAGTTGTTTATTATCTATTGCAGTCTGAACATCATTAGTAATTTTGATTAAGGCGGATTGTGTGGAGTATCCGGGACGGAAACCAGATTGGAGAGGATCGAGTTGGTTAGACTTTTCTAGGAAATTGGAAACTTGGGATTGCACCAATCTTTCTAGGGGTTTTGAGAGATTGGAAAGAATTGAGATTGGGCGAAAGTCTTCGGGAGAGGATGGATTAGGCTTTTTATTTAAAGGGAGTACAATGGCTTTTTTCCAAGAGGAAGGGAATATTGAGTTCTGTAGGGAGAAATTGTAAATGAAAAGGAGAACTGGGAGGATTTCGGGGAGACATAATTTTATCAATTTGACAGGAATGCCATCTGGTCCTATGGAATTGGTGTGGGATTTCATTACTGCGGTTAGTAAGTCAGTCGGGGAAATGTAGGAGAAATAAAAGTCATCATCTATATATATATAGATATATATATATATATATATACACATATACATATAAGTTGCTTTCCAATTTTGATCAGTTGATAATAAAAGAGAAAAAAAAAATAGATAAACAAAAATTGGGGAACAAATAATGAAGAACGAACTAATAACTTATGTACATATTTTCAGTAGTATCTATTTACGATTTTATGGGGACTGGATGGATAAGAAATGATTGAACAGGCGGGATTTAAAGGTAGGAAGGGTATTAGATTGACGGATATGGGAAGGGATGGAGTTCCATAGAGATGAGGATCGGATAATGAACGATTTGTCGAAAGCAGCGGTTCGGTGGGCCCTTATGTATAAATCAGAAGACCGGGAACGAGTATTGCGGGAACGAACAGAGGATTTGAATTGAAGGAGCTCGGAGATGTATGAGGGACGGTGGGATTGGATGACTTGAAAGAGGAAGGATGCCAGGAAATACTTACGACGGTAGGAAGGATAAAGCCAATTTAACTCCGCGTAAAGATGGGAAACAGAGGCGTCCCTTGGGATCCCGAAGATGAATCGTACAAAGCAATTTATCAAACGTTTTAGTTTTGCCTCGAGATCCCCAGAGAGGCCCCCATATACCGTACAGCAATAGTCAAAGTGGGGAAAAATTAAGGAAGTGACTAGGAGCCTACGGGTTTCAAAAGGAAATAGGTGACGGGAGTAGTTAAGACGTTTTAGGATGGAAATGGTACGGCGGGTAATATTGGATATATGATTTTTCAAGAAAGCGTTTGATCAATGGTTATTCCAAGATTTTTTATGGTGAGGTGAAATTTGATGGGGTTATAATGTAGGAACAGAGTTGGAATAGTAGGGACAGTTTTAAGGAGGTGATTGGAGCCTATTAAGATTGCCTTTGTCTTATCCGCATTCAACTTCAGCTTGTTTGTTCTTGCCCAGTCACAAATTCCATCTAAGTCTTCTTGAAGTTTTTCTGTGGCAGATAATAGGTCGGAGGGCGGAAAGGAAAGGTATATTTGGAAATCATCTGCATAGATGTGGTATCGGGAGTGACGGATATGGAGGGGAAGATCATTGATGTAAATAGCAAACAGAGTAGGAGAGAGAGAGGAACCCTGAGGGACACCACAGGAGAGGGGAAGTGTGTTTGAAGGAGGTTGATCAGGGACTACTACATACTGGGATCGATTGGAAAGGAAGGATTTGAACCAATGCAGGACACTGTTGGATAGAGGAAGGTTTTGCAATTTGGTGAGAAGGATGTTATGGTCAACTGTATCAAACGCTTTGGAAAAATCTAGAAGGATGAGGATAGTAAGGTTTTGGTGTTCAATGGAGTTTTGTAGGTCATGGGTTATTTTAAGGAGAGCAGATTGCGTTGAATAGCCGGGTCGGAAGCCAGATTGGCATGGGTTGATAAAGGAACGTTCCTCTAGGAAGTTTGAGAGCTGATTTTGGACAAGGCGTTCTAGCGGCTTTGAGAGGTTGGATAGGAGAGAAATAGGACGGAAGTCGTGCAGTGAGGTAGGATTGGCAATTTTATTCAAAGGTCGGACTAGGGCGGTTTTCCAGGAGGATGGGAATATGGAGTTCTGCAGTGAAAAATTGTAGATATGATAAAGAACAGGAATAAGGTCAGGAAGGGTGGATTTTATTAGTTTTACAGGAATATTGTCGGGACCATAATCATTGGTGTGGGATTTTAGGATGGTGGAAAGTAATTCATCATAGGACACGTGGGAGAAAAAGAAGTCTTCAGGATTGAATTTGTGATGTTTAATGTCGAAGGTATGAGAGGAAGAGTGAGTAAAGGATAAGAAATGGTTATTGAGATCATCTGGAGAAAGATCGAAGGAACTACGATTAATGGACTCTGGTAGGGATAGGTTGCGGAGTATTTTCCATTTAGATTTGGGGTCGGGAGCATTGGACAGGGCATTATGGAAGTAGGTGGTTTTAGCAAGACGGACTGCGGATTGGGTCCCATTGCGAAGCGCCTTGAAAGACGCATAATCCACAGCTAGACGGGTTCGACGGTATTTGCGCCTTGCTGCATCTCTTCCCCTCATCATTTCCTTTATCTCACGGGTCAGCCAAGGCGCAGTGGGACGGCGTAAGGTTTTGGTTTTCAGAGGAGCGTGGATTTCTAATATAGATTGTAGGTTTGAGGTCAGGGTGGATACCATAGGATCAATGGAGTTGTAGGAATATATGGTGTCCCATTGCTGAGAATTAATGTCTGGTTGAAGGGATTCATAGGAAAGAAGGTTTAAATTGCGGTATGAAACTATTTTGGGAGTGAAGGATGTTACGGGTAGGTCGTATGTAATTTGGATCAGGTCATGTGATGAAAGAAATGGAACTGGGTGTTGAGAAGAAGAAAGGATTTTGATGGGGGAGTCAGAGATATAAAGATCTAACCAAGTATCGGAAAATTGCGTGTGGTGGGTAGGAGAATAAGGAACAAGATGAAGATTAAGGGAAAACAACAGGTCGGTAAGGAAAATTTTTCGGGAGATTGTGAAAGCATGTTCACGTTAAAATCACCGGTAATAATAATATTGGTGTAGTTGGAGACCAGGTTAATGAGGGAAGATTCAAAGAGGTTGTCAAATGGAACACGAGGAGGGCGGTAAATTACGGCATACAACAGAGGAGAGGAAAGCGAGGTGATTTCAACGAACATGTATTCTATGTGAGGAAAATCATGATAAGGAGACTGTAGAAGGATTTTGGCCTTAAGGCTGTCATGGATATATAATCCGACGCCACCTCCCGTGCGATGCGATCTATCGTGACGTAGGAACGAGTAATCTGGTAAGGAAATCTGGGAGGATGGGATAAAAGGTTTTAGCCAGGTTTCAGATATTGCTATTATATGGTAAAAATTGTCAAGGAAATATTTCTGGAATTCATCGTAGTGTGCAATAAGGGATTGGGCGTTGATGTGACAGGAATTCAGAATATTAGTCATTATAGTGGAGTTGGGAAGCAGAGGTTTGGTGAAAAGGATCGAAGATAAAGGATAGGATATAACATTTTTTTTAAACAAAAACTCCGTTTAAAAATAATAAAAAAAAATATTAAAAAATTGCAAACATAAAATAAAAGTTGAGATGAAAGTAATGAATTTCCAATATTTCGAAATAAATATTCTGTTAAATATAATTTATAGCATATTAATTCCCCTGTCTGTAAAATATAAATATCCCCTTGTTTTAAATACATTGATACATTTTGGTAAATAACCAAATAAAGTTGTAAATAATTTATACAAGAATAAAGAGTGCTAAAAGTAAAAAAGATTAAAATCAAATTATTTCTGTCGAGAATAAAAGTATAAAAAAATAAAAAAAGCTTCGATAAAAATAAAAAAATTAAAAAAGATACATTTCTATAAAAATAAAAAAAACCTGAAGATAAAAAAAATAAAGTAAAAATATTTCTGGCGAAAATAAATGTATACAAAAATAATAAAAAGCTTCAATATAAATAAAAAAATAAAAAAGTTACATTCATATGAAAATAAAAAAACCTGAAGATAAAAAAAAAATAAAGTAAAAATATTTCTGGCGAAAATAAATGTATAAAAAAATAAAAAAAGCTTCAGTATAAATAAAAAAATAAAAAAAGCTACGTTTATATTAAAGTAAAAAAACCTGAAGATAAAAAAAAATAAAGTAAAATTATTTCTGGCGAGAAAAAATAAATCAAATGCAAACTCAGAGTAACTTGTGACCAACGTTCAGCTGAATACGTCAAGGTCACTCGGTTTTCCTATTATCACCGGTGGGTATCCATCTGACTCTCTGCAGCGAATTTTTCCTCCACTGAACCAAACATATTTTATTTTAGCAGTTAATTTCTTCTGCCTGGCTAACCAATAGAGGTGCTTGTTGGTGGGCGTCATGGCTTCACTTACATATACGCGGTGCGAGTCATTCTCACTCCAGCCTAGATGTCGTGTGGAGAAATCTCTCTTAGTTCTTCGCTGCCGCACTAACTCATCTTTCACCGTCTGTCTAACAAATCTTGCAATAATTGGGCCTGGTGTTCCTTCCTGCTTGGGCTTAAGTCTTACGGCGTGATCAAGATCTTCCGGACTCAGCTTGACGCCCAGACCCGCTCCGATGCTGAGAATTGTGCCAGTTACAGTTTCACCTGGCTTCTCCGGAATGCCTCTTATTTCAATCGTATTTTTGAGTTGACTTTGTTCTGTAAAATTTAGTCGGATTTCAAGCTCTGATATTTTTGTTTTGAGTTTGTTGTTTTCAATTGTCAAATTTTCAACATGGGTTTTCTGTTCCTCTAAGAGTGTTTCTATTTTTAACAGACGGTCCATGTTCTCAAATGAGAGTTCCGCCTGCTTCTGTAGGGCTTCTTTTATCTCCTTCAGTTCGTCTATCCCTTGAAGTTTGGACTTCAATTCCCTGACCTCCTCGGTGAGCCCTCTCAGTAGGTCAAGTATACTACTAGACTCAGCAGCTGGCAACGTACCCGATAATAATTCGCAATCGCTACATCTCCATTTTTTGCTGGTCTCTTTTAGGCCTTCTAAGTCTGTAGAATCAATTTTTGTACATTTCACGTGAAATAGGTTTTGACACGTGACACAAACTATTTTAGTTTTGTCTTCTCGGCTTACTGTTTTAGAACACAGTTTGCAATTAACCATGTTGATTAGAAAAAAAAATAATGATAAAATTAAAATAAATCACTATTGCTTTGTAAAGTCGAAAGTAGATGAAAACAATAATATTGTCAGAGACACACCTGTTTGTTTGGGTGGAAGCTGGTAGGATTAGGCTGCTGCCGGCTATCCCCACTACTCCAACTCAATTGCTTCCTTCACCGGCACTGTTTTTTAACTTTATGGCTCTATTTCCAAGAAATGACTGTAGTGAAGCTCTAATATTAATATAGTAATACAGAATGATGTTTCTATGAAAAATAATTGAATGATATCTCTAAAATAACTGTTTAAATATTATGGTTAGCGAGTGGCACTTAGTTGAGCTCCTGACTGGTCGAGAGATACTCTAAGACAGAGAACAACAATTTAATTCAACCCTTTCAATCGGGATTCCGTAAGGGTAGATGCATAGTGGATCATTTGGTTGCATTAGAAGCCGAAACTCAATATACTTTTATCAACGCACAACAGACAATAGCCATATTTTTCGATATGAAAAAAGCTTTTGATAATATAAATCACTCCATTATCCTCAATAAATTATCATCCGTAGGAATTAGAGGCAAAGTGTACAATAATGTTAAACAATTTCTAATGCACCGACGCTTTAGAGTTATCCGAGAAGTAGGAGGAGAATTATCCGAGAACCACCATCAGTTCAACGGTGTCCCTCAAGGTTGTGTCCTCAGCCCAACTCTGTTCTGTCTGGCGATAAATGACTTGGGCCTTAACTTGCCAAGAGGTGTTGAACAACCGCTTCTATTCGCAGATGATCTAGCCATTCTCTGCCGATCTGGCAACATTGATACTATACGAAACAAACTACAGGATGCTGTTAATAGAATCAAAAACTGGTCTCTTTCCATTGTTCTCCAATTTTCTTCCGCAAAAACTAAACTAACTCACCCGAAATCTACCTCGGAAATTCCATAATCCCCTACTCCAACATCGATTCTTGAGCATGATCTTTGACCGAAGACTATCTTGGGAACCACACATTTTTTCCCCAAAGACAGACACTACAAAAAGAATAACTATCTTGCGATACCTAAGCGGCACTTCCTGGGGCACAGACAGACTTACATTAATAAAATTGTATCCAAGCGGCACTTCCTGGGGCTCAGACATACTTACGTTAATAAAACTGTATCAAGGTCTGGTATGTTCGAAATTAGACTATGGGTGCTTTATATATGGGTCCGCTCGCTATCGGATCCTAAACAAACTTGATACAGTTCACCATACAGGCGTTAGGATAGCAACTGGCGCATATTGAACAAGTCCCATCCTTAGTCTCTGCTCTGAGGCCGGAATACCCTCTCTTTTATTTAGAAGGAAAAACTGGCCGTTAACTACATTTCAAGGCTGCTTCCCCAAAATAAACATCCCACTCACAACTACATGTTTAAACTTAAATTTTCAAACGCTTTTAGAAACAAAACAAATTCCAACCTTTATTCAATATAGAAAACCAAAACCCACCTTGGATCCACAAACCCCCAAAAATGATGCTCCGTCCCCCTCGATTACTCAAAAACAATATCTGACATCACGAGTACAAAACCGAATTTTCCCGGCTACTACAAAATATTCCGGATCCATTTTTAATTTACACTGATGGTTCGAAATCCGATGATGCTACGGCTTGTTCGTTTGTTACCCATAACTCCACTCATAAAATAAAATTAGATAGACTGAACAGCATATACACAGCGGAACTTCACGAAAAATCTTCAGCCCTCCACTTCTGTATGTCAATAACTCCAGCTTCGATAGTTTTGATAACCGACTTCTTGAGTTCATTAAAGGGTTTAAATGATATGTACTCAAAACATCCAGTTATCCATAAAACACACAAATATCTTCACACCCTGGAAAATTTCAGTAAATCGGTTTGTTTTATATGGGTTCCCAGTCACGTGGTTATAGTTGGTAATGCCACAGTGAGTAGTGTTGTTATTTACTGTGTACTATTACAGACAGTGAATTTAGTGGTTTAGCGTCTATAGGCTTAATCTCTATAGCCATAACAGCTGACGGCTCCCAACTCCAGTTGTGGCCTCGCCACGTAACTGACTGGTTCACAGTCGGCGGTTCATCCATTGTAATAACACGCAGACGTAGTTTTATTTATTTATTTATTTTTCCCCTTTCTTTTTTTTTTATATGCGATATTACCACCAAGTAATGTCAACTAAGAGGTCCCATTCAGTTGGCTCTACCACACGTAATTCACCGCCTAAACAGAAAACGCGTCGTAGTAAGCGATTAACACCCCCGGAACTCCTCCAGCGAACACTCAAGTATCTGTAACACTCCCTTCTATGTAACCAATAAAACCCTACACCATGACCTTAATATCCCATTTATTCTTGATCTTATCCCAGCCAAATTTTCCAAATTTCACCAGAACCTTTCTCATCACCCAAATCCTGTTGTACAATCCCTATCAAGCACCACCCATCCCTACAATCCCCTTCGTAGGTTAAAGCGGCAGTGGCCACGAGACCTTTTGTAAATATGGATATTTTGGAGTTCTAGCAATGGCCAGATTCTCCACTCAAGTCATGAGTGTCTGTGGCTGTAGCGCTCTTACTCATCCTCCGCTGGTTTACAATACCAGTGAAGTGGCTGAGGGAGAAGCGTAGGGATCTCCTAAGCCTCCCTTTTCCCTCCACATGTGGAGGGGACAGGATTGGTTCGGAGATCACCTGGCAAATTGTAAATAATGTATATAGTATGTTTTATATAAGGTGTTTGTTTTACATTTATTTCTATTTTTATTTACTTATGTGTATATATATATTTTTTTTTCTTTACTCTTTTGTTCTTTCTTCTTATTCTTTTGTTATTACTTTATTTATTTATATTTTTGTATATACGGTATGAATGCAATCTCTGAACTCTATTATAAGTGTCCTTAAACTGTGACAAATTGTAATATTTCTGAATAAAGTGTTTTAATAGTAATAGTTGGTAATGAGCTTGCGGATACGGCAGACAAACAAGCACTCGCGCTTCCAGACCGAGGTACTCCTATCCTGACCCCTCCAGAAATGAGTTTTCCTCACAAAAAAGAAATATTGGATAGTTGGCTGTCTATGTGGAACGAATGCCCACCTAGCAAATTAAAAGTTGTTAATCGTAGAAAGTAAGTCACCGTGACCAGGTTAAGAATAGGTCACACGAACCTAACTCATGTACATCTCATCACAAAGCAGCCACCACCAAATTGTCAGCATTAGCCTTCATATAGTCAAGCATATTTTCCAAGAATGCACTTATTATACTTCAAGCCTAAATCGATTATCTCTAAAACCGGATATATCAGCAGTATTAAACAACAACAAATCTAACATAGGAACCGTGATAAAATCTCTTAAAATCCATAGACTATTAACTAAAATATAAAAATAGATATAATTTGTATTTTATTGCTTTTTTTTTTTGTATTTATTTTAAGATATTTCATTTTTTATATGTTTTTAAATATCTTTTTCATATACCACTATATCTATCTATTATTAATTTTTTATTGTTCTTTTTTTTTCTGTTTCTCCTCTAAAGAGTTTACAAACATAACTGACTCACAGGCTTTGATGACCTTGGGGTTTTACGCCTTAAAGCCTAAATAAACAAACAAACATATTTTACGTCAATTATTTTTTTTGTTCGGATTTAAAATCGGGTTATTCCCTTTCACCTGTTCCATTTCATTTAACTCTATACCATGCCATTAGAGACATGATACTTATTGAAAAAGCTTTGAATATGGATAGAGAAAAATTCCTGTGGAGTTTGCCGATGATTGGTACTGTTAAGTGAAGAAGCAAAAACAATAAAAAATAAATGAAACAACGTTTATGAAATCCAGTAAAGAACTAGAACTCGAAATAAATATGGATAAAACTAAATATATGACCAGCTGCACAAATGGAGATAGTGTTGGAGTAATAGATATTGAAGGGAATTCGGTTGAATACTTAAGAGAGAAATTAAGATATTAGGGTCGACGATAACTGGAAAACTACATTAAAGAGGATTCTACTATCCATAAGCTTTGGAAGTCAGATGCTTACCCACTGAGCTATCTCCTCTATCTAACTTTTATGTAATTTAAAATATTTTTAAGAGGTCAGCGTTCAACCAAAGACTTCTAAATGGTGGCATTGTCAGTCAGGTATGATTGAAACGAAATTTTACTCACACACTCATTCTTGTAAACATGCTTATACAACATAATCTTAGAACATTAGGATCATAAAGTACTTAAAAAGAAAAAGTCGGAAGAGCTAGTATTTTAAAAATGAACTTATGGCTCTACAGTATGTGACAACTTGTCAAAAATTGACGCTAAAAGACCATTTAAGGAAGGACAAAATCATTTTTCAATTTTCTCATTTTCTGCTTATGCTGTGAAGTACTGAAGGATGGACTTAACCTAAAAACTTTGTAAGTAGCAAACTTTGAAACTCACATTATGCAAATTATTTCCTCTAACATCAGCTTAAGATGGATTTAAACTAAGAATAGCTCATCCCATTTGTCCTTGATATTTTAAATCAGACAGATCTGATAGACAAATCTGGTGCGCATTACAAAACTTTCACTTTTAGCACTGCTTTATGTAGACATATATTTTTATATTAAAAAACCTTAACAATATTACTTAAATTATAAATACCAACTTATGAGAATTATTATAATCCTTTCCACTCTGTATTTTCGATATAGTTACTACGGAAATTCCGTTTAGATTCCACGGAATTATGGAAAAGTTTATTTATTATACCATTCAGTAATATAAAAAGAGACATTGTAAACTAAAACAATTCAAAGTCATTAACTTTCCATCATCTCATACTCTTCATAACCTAATATGACCTTACATGTTTGATAATAATTCATTTTTTAACCATTTTCAACGGTATGTTATAACTATTATACGAGTATTACTACTTTTATTTTGAGAAATTTGTTTT